CGGACGCTTAACCGACTGCGCCACCCAGGCGCCCCGCATCTAGCTTTATTTTTAAAACAAACACTTTGGAAAATGCAACTGTGATTTACTAGGCTGGGATTCAACCTGATTTGTTTCTTTTTCCTTTTATTTCTTTATTTTTTGTTGGGGGGGGGTGCGGTTCTTCTGGTTGACAGTAAATCGTAGCAGACACACTGCTTCACGACACAGAATTGTTCCAAATGAACCCTTACTGCCGCGTGTTTTGTGCGCTTTTAAAAAATTGCGTGACAGAGCATTGCCTTTTGCAGCCTCCTGCCCTTGCAACCTTGCCTGGTTCTTCTGTGATCGCGTCCGTGACCCTGTGTCTAGCCCTCTTCTTCCTGTTTTATTCATGGTGGCCAGAGCCGAGCCAACTAGAAACCTCATCTGTCAGGAATCATTCCTGACCTCTTACTTTCTCCCAAAGAGGCAGGTCCTAAGGAGCAAGTTTACATTGGGGTTTTAGGCGGAAGCAGCGTTGGGTGCGTGGGCCCTGATGGTGGGGCTTGCTGGAACGGACATAATGAAAAAAGGAAAAAAACTGATACACGATTAGAGCATTTTCAAACAGCTACCCGTCCGCCATGAGACTGAATTCTCCATCTGTCCGTCCGTCCATCTGTGCATGCTTCCACGCATCCATCTATCCAGTGGGTGTTTGCCAGGTGCTCTGCCAGCCTTTGAGGATGGATGTGCTGGTGAGAAGACAGGCCTGGACCCTCCTCAAGGAGCGTACCTTCTGGCATAATCCCCCAAACCGCAGACTAGAGGGGAGTTGCTGACCCAGCCCCAGCCGGGAGGGCAGTCCGGGAGGACCAGGGCAGGGGAGCCGAGCGCCGAGAACTGAGGACTTGCCGAGGACGTGCCAGGAGGGCGTGCGTGGCACGCACAAAGGCCCACAGGGAGGAGTGGTTCCAGACCTTTCGGGCAGTGGGGCTCGGCTTTGAGGGTTTCGGAGAAGCTGTGGACCTTCTCTCGAGGCAGAGGCAGAGGCGGGCACGTGCACCCAAGCTTTATGCTCTGTTTCTGGAGAGCCCTACACTCCCCGATGCACAGAACATCTGATGGCCGTGTCGTTTTCCATACGGGGAGGCCCAGCCTGGTTTAAGTGTGTGAATGTGTCAAGACTCCTTTGCTGGAGGCTCACTGCATTCGCTAGGAGTCCACATCCCATCCCTTCAGTAAGAACTGTCTTTCCAGGAGCTGCTTTCAAGTGTTTACACTAGCTAACTGCTGACAGCAAAAATGTGTTTTTCCCAAGTCGGTGCTCCGTTTTACTTAGAAAACACAATTTTTCAGGGTTGCCGCAGAAACATTTGGCTTCATTTCCCATGGTCTTTACCCCTAGGAGATGCACAGTGAGATTCTTCAATGTTGAGGAGTCTCAAGTGAAGTGCTTGGTCCACAGATAGCCCTGTGCTTGTTTGAGTGACAGTCTTTGATCCAGCTTTTCAAGAACAATACTTTTGATCTTCTCAAAACAAACCAACCAACAAACAAGCAAACGACTTAGTTTCTCTCTCTGAAGGAGGGCAGCCTGGAAGCGAAGACTGAGGTTCTAATCCTGGCGAGGCCTGACCATGGGGCTGGCGCCTGAAGGCCTCTTTCCTTGACTGGGGCCACGTGGCTCCTGTAATTGAGAGTCCGTGTTTGATGTTACTAGATTTTAACCTTGCAATAGTCACAACTCTTCCGCGCACGGGCCGACCCTGCGGGTGTGAGGTGGGGACGGGGTGTGGTTCGACCCGGTAGCTGTTGATCGTGAGCCTGTCCCTTGCCGGTAGTGACTCTGCCTTTCCCCTGCAGCCACCTCCCCGAGGGTGTCCTCTGAGCTGGAGCAGGCCCGGCCCCAGACAAGTGGAGAAGAAGAGCTGCAGCTACAGCTGGCACTTGCCATGAGCAGAGAGGTAGCGGAGCAGGTGGGTGCCTGGACGGGGGCGGGTTGCGCGGTGGGGGCGGGGGCCGGGCGGGGCGCAGAGCGGGCCCTGCCCTCGGTGTTTCTCGGGTGTGTTTCCTGAGATGGGGCTTCGAGGTGCCAGGACCGTGTTCTTGCCACCCACCGTCCCCTGTCAGGAAGGGGGCCTGTGCTGTTCCAGGTAGGGAAGCCTCTTGTTGCCAAGGGATGGAGTGATCGGAAGTGCGCCGCAGAAACACTTTGGTACACACGGCAAGTGTCATGGCCTCTGGGCGTCCACAGCCCCTCAGCGAAAGGCCTGTGGGTGCGCAGTGGGGCTTAGCCCCTTGGGAGGGAGGTTTGGTGAGATGGATCGAAAGCATCTGAGCGCCGAAAAGGCGAGAAGAGCTGCAGGTAATAGAATGCTCATTGCGTTTAGATGACGGAAGTGTGTGTAGTTTTAATTGTTTTCAGTTCCTGTTTTTCTCTAATAATCATGCATTACTTTAACACGGAGAAGGAGGGAAAGACGTGATGGAAATGACCTTTCAAAGCTGCCATCCCGTGGGCCCCAGTGATGAGGTCCGTCCCTGCTGACCTTGGGTTAGGGAGGGTAGACTGAGTCAGGTAGTGCGAGGCTCCGTCTCGCCCAGAGGTGATGTGTAGGGACAGATATTAGGGAGTGCGACGGGAGTGCAGCGCAGCGGTGGCTGTCCCAGCCTGACTTGTGTCGCTGTAACTGGAAACCTAAAGTCCAGCAGTAGTGGACAGCTTGGCTCGGTCCCTCTGTTCACAGCAGGAAAAACACAGCCATTAAATCTGTCCCTGTGGATGCCTGGCTCTGTCACTGACAGCCCGGGAAGAAGGTGTAGGAATACGGGGACAGATGGACAGTGGGAGCCCATTTTAGTAAATAACTCATCTCTGTGATTTATCACATTTAATATAAATGAAATATAACGATTTTTTTATTTCATTATTATTCAAAAGCCTAGCACAACCCAGTCTTTTGCATAGGGTGACTTCACCTTAAATAAATACAAATTAAGGGCGCCTGGGTAGCTCAGTCGGTTAAGCATCCGCCTTCGGCTCAGGTCATGATCTCATGGTTTGTGGTTCAAGCCGTGCATTGGGCTCTGTGCTGGACCCTGCTTCGGATCCCGGAGCTCAGAGCCTAGAGCCTACTTCGGATTCTGTGTCTCCCTCTCTCTGCACCACCCCCCCCCCCCCCCCCCGACTCTCTCAAAAATAAACATTAAAAAAATTTTTTTAAATAAAAAAATAAATATAAATTAAATACAGGTGACCTTTGAGCAACACAGGTTTGGACTGTGCTGGTCCACTTATGTGTGGATTCTTTTCAATAAATAGTGTAAAGATACTGCCTCTTAGTTTCTTACTAACATTTTATTTTCTCTAGCTGTATTATAGTAACACAGCATATGATACATATACAAAATATGCATTAAGTGACTATGTTCCAGTCAACAGTTGGCTATTAGTAGTTAAATTTTTTTTAAGTTTACTTTTTTTGAGAGAGAGTGTGAGGAGAGTAGTTAAATTTTTGAGGAGTCAGATATATATGTTGATTTTTGACTGTGCAGGGGCGGGGGTTGGTGCCCCTAATGCGCATGTTGTTGGAGGCTCAGCTGTAAAATGAATCATTTCTGTTTGAAATCATAGAAATAAACATACAGCCATTTTCTGTAAGCATATGCTGTGCGAGGTGCAATGATAAGTGATTTTCATCCTCTTTTCTAATTCCTTTCTGGGCTGTCAGACTTTTGTATTTTATATGGAGACGTGTTACTTCTATAATTACAATTATAAAGCCATTTTCATTTTGAGAAAAAGTGTTCCCTTTCCCTAACTTGGCTGTGCCTGCGCCCGTCTCCCTGCTGGGACCCCAATATCAGGGAAGCCACACGAAGTAGGTGGGGCGGAGCCCTGTGGGCTATACCTTCGGGATAGAAGACTGTGTTTCACGAGTCGTTTTCCAATCTTCCTTTGAAATAATGCGTACTACAGTTTTGCGCATCCTGTTCCTGGCCAGCGCTGCTTTGTTCTCTACCGTGATGTTATTACAGTCACGGTCAGCTCCAAGTCCCATTGTCCTCTACAGGAAGAGCGCCTCCGGCGGGGTGATGACCTCAGATTACAGATGGCCCTAGAAGAGAGCCGAAGAGACACAGTTAAAGTTCCAAAAAAGAAAGAGGTAAGCGCTTCACGGGGAAGGTAAACGTTTGAGACGGTCCCATAGTCGCTGGGGGAATGTCCCAAACCTAGCGTGCAGAGTACCCTGCCTTCTCAGAAGGTGCTCTTTTCTCCCTTGGCTCAACAAATACTCCTCGGGCCCGTGCTGAGCATGAGTGAGCCGAGGACGTACTAGAAAACACATCCGCCCCAGACATTACTCCCAAGGCTCTTCTGAGACCAGCCCCAGAGGAGACGGGCATGGGCGAGGGGCTTCTGTTGACCAGGGCCTCCCTTTCGTCCCGTGTAAACGAGCACGATAACAGCCAGGCGGTCTTGGCGGCCGTTACATAAGCCAAGCGTCAAGTGCTTTGGAACAAATTCCTGGCACAGGGTAAGCCCTCACTAGCGCCGGTCTCCACTGCCGTCATCAGCCTTACTCTGCGCCAGGCTGCCTGCTAGGAGCCTAAGGTGACTAGGACGCGGGTCTGCTCCCGTCAGGCTCATCCGGTCAGAAGACACAGGGCCAGCGGTTCCAGTGATCTCCTGTGGTGCAGCACCACCGGGTCCCTGGCAGTAGCTGGGCGGGGTGGGGGGGGGGGGGCATGCGAGCGGGTGGGTGGGGCCGCCCCCCAAGAAGGAGGGTCCTGGATGATGGCTGGCAGCTGGGGGCAGCACGTTGGGTTGGTGGGGACAGCGTTCGGGAGGGAGGCTGCAGCCTGGGCAAAAGCTTGAGTCCTTCTGGAAAACCCTGATGGCCTTTGAAGGTGGGCAGGGCATTGGGCACAAAGTATATAGCTTGGTGTGGGTGGAGCCTGGGCTGCACTGGGACTTGGTTTTGTGAGGGGGTGGGCGGGGTGGGCAGCTCAGTTTCCTCTTGGCACCTCCCAGAGGGCTTCTCTTCCTAGGAGGCAGACAGTATTTATGGTTAACACGTGGATATTTGCTGTAACTGTAGCCAAGTAAAACCTGTCCCCTTCTCTTTGTCTCAAAGCATGGCTCCCACCCACAGCAGACCACTCTGTTGGATTTAATGGATGCCCTCCCCAGCTCGGGCCCTGCTGCCCAGAAAGCAGAGCCTTGGGGCCGGTCAGCTTCAGCCAACCAGACGAACCCCTGGGGCGGGCCGGCAGCCCCAGCCAGCTCTTCAGACCCCTGGCCATCGTTCGGTAAATACCTGCCCCCTTCGTCTCCCGTGCCTTCCTGTTGGATGTGTGAAGGGCCATAGGGCACAGCTTCTTGCTCTGTCCCCCCTTCTGGAGGTGGGAGTGAGGCAGGCCTTTGGTGGCGGGTTGGGGCTTCTCCAGTCCCCAACCGTAATGTCCAGTAAAGTCCTCCCGAGGACTGCAACACAGGGCTTTCTGTTTTGAATGGTTTTCTGCTTTGGTAGAGGGAAAGCTGACTTCCTCTTTGCTTCCCACATGCAGTAGAAATGGCTGGTCCCCTTTCTGGGACGTGTGTCAACTCTCTGAGCCTCAGAATTGCACCCAGCACCCCAGGTTAAGAAACTAATACATAGCTGGAAATTATGCTGTGCTTGCTGTGGTTGCAAATGAAAAGAGGATGTGTTTGCTGTAATTCTTCCTACCTGTTACATAAAGCAATAGTCAGTTTACTAGGCTAAGTGAATATTTTAAAGTTCTTTTTAATGCCAAATGTCGAAGAATCTGTGGTAGGAGATTTGAAACATGAGTGTGGCACAGATGCTTTAATCTGGGGAGAAATCTTGGGCCTGTGGGTTTCCTGATGGCTGGACACAGGGCCTGGCCTGCCTGAAGCCTTTGTAATGGCTTCCAACCCAGCCTGCTGCTCTGGGAGGTTCCCCTCACCCGGTGCTCTGAGCCCTGCCGGCCATGGCTGATCTGTCTGGGAACTTTCGGTGGTAGGTTTTGTGGCAACTTGCGTGTGTCTCTTTGGGGTCCCTGTTTCCCCCAACCGGAACCATCTTTTGTGTTCAGCTCGGTTCCCTGGACGTTTGCCGAAGTGTACCGAACGCCAGGCTCTTTCCTGCTACTCAGGGACCCAGATGCAAACAGGTAGTGGTCTTGCCTTCAAGGTCCTGAGCGGGTGTGGGCAAGATGGGAGTTCCAGCATGGCAGAGGTCCACCAGCTGGTGGGCTGGGCCTTGGTGGTGGGTCTTTAAGAGCATCCTGGGACAGGGCTTAGCTCAGGAGTCTGGCAGGCATGAGACAGGTATCTCGGAGGAACCTTCAGGGAAGCACAGGAGGTGGCCAGGCTGTGAAGAGGCAAGGGTGTGCCTAGCAGAAGGCGTGGCTTTTTTTTTTTTTTAATTTTTTTTTTTCAACGTTTATTTATTTTTGGGACAGAGAGAGATAGAGCATGAGCGGGGGAGGGGCAGAGAGAGAGAGAGAGAGACACAGAATCGGAAACAGGCTCCAGGCTCTGAGCCATCAGCCCAGAGCCTGACGTGGGGCTCGAACTCACGGACTGCGAGATCGTGACCTGGCTGAAGTCGGACGCTTAACCGACTGCGCCACCCAGGCGCCCCAGAAGGCGTGGCTTTTGAGAGGCTGAGAGCGAGCAGTGGTGTAGTGGGTGCAGGTACAGGCAGCGGGGAGCAAGGGCATGGGGTCGGGGCCCTCAGGGCCTGGCAGCCTTGTCCAGAAGGCAGTATCAGCCCCAGATGTCCTTTGGCAACGCCGTTGGCCTCAGGGACCCGGGCAGGTCCCCACATTTCCTTTGGCAGGAGCCCTCTGGGCCTTGGGGCAAACTGCAGGCCAAATGGCCTACAGGATCTCGGTCACCAAAAGCCAGGACCACGGTTGCCAGGAGCTTGGCAGTTCTCGTGGCCCATGGCCTGCGTGCTGCGCCCCCGGGGAGCTTGTGGGCTAAAGTGTTACTGAGCATACATACACAGGGATGGCGAAGGCAGCTCTCCTGGAAATGCCCACTTGGGCCCCTTCCAGACAGTGGCTTTGACTTTATTTTTAAATTTGAGAAATAGTTCCTCTGTAACGTGATGGCCACCTTGAGTTACGGGTAGGGTGTTCTTCAGGAAACACTATCAATCCCTTTTGGAGTTGCGTAATGGATCATTAAACAGACAGGACGTTTTCTAGTGCCCAGAAAAGAAAACCTGCACGCTACGAGCCGGGTGCGTTTAACAAGATTGAATTCTGCTGAGTCTGTGGCTGATGGGGAGTGGTTGGGGTGGAGCTTGGGGGTTGGGAGGGAGACTAATTCTGTCCACTTTTTTTTTTTTTTTTGCTCTTTGACTTACTAGGGGTATATGTCACCAGGTCAGGAGACACAGAATTTATGAATTTTCAATGAACGAGTTTGCCCCTCCCTTCCTTTGGCTGGGGGATAGCCCTGTGCCCTGGAGCTGGGCGTCTTGATCGAGCCAGGGACTTGACCTCATAGGGTGTTTTAAAGTGGGCACTTCAGCAGTTGTTAGCCGTTCACGGTGTGGTGCCACCATCACTACTAATCCCAGGACATTTCCATCACCCCAGAAAGTGACCCCATTCCCATTAAGCAGTCACCCTCCGTGACCCCTCCCTCCAGCCCCTGGCAACCACCAGTCTACTGCGTTCTATCTCTGGATCTTCCCGTTCTGGATATTTCTTACGTGTAATGGAATCAAACAGCCTGTGGCCTTTGTGACTGCTTCGTGTCACTCAGTGTGATGTTTTCAGAGTTCATCGCTGTAGTAGTGGCACGTGTCCTCACTCCGTTCCTTATAACGGCTGAAGAACATTCCATTTATAGTTCCACCGCATTTTGTTTAATCACTTAGCACTTGATGGACACTTGGGTTGTTTCCACTTTTTTGGCTACTAGAATCCAGTTTTTTAAAGAGAAGATGGAAACCTGAATTTTTGAAATCGGTTCATTTTTGTTCATTTCTGAGAGAGCGTGCAAGCAGGGGACGGGCAGAGGGGGACAGAGGGTCTGAAGCAGGTTCCACACTGCTGGCAGCTGCGGGGCTCAAACTCAAAAACCACGAGATCACAACCTGAGCCAAAGTTGGATGCCGAACCGACTGAGCCACCCCGTCGCCCTGAAATCTGTTAATTTTTAAATGTTGACAAGGAATTTAAAAAAAAATTTTTTTTAACATTTATTTATTTTTGAGACAGAGAGACAGAACATGAACAGGGGAGGAGCAGAGAGAGAGGGAGACACAGAATCTGAAACAGGCTCCAGGCTCTGAGCCGTCGGCACAGAGCCCGACGCGGGGCTCGAACTCACGGACCGCGAGATCATGACCTGAGCCGAAGTCGGACGCTTAACCGACCAAGCCACCCAGGCGCCCCGACAAGGAATTTTAAAGTGAGAACATGGTTGGGGCTGATCAGATATATCTGCAGGT